ATAATAATTAATAGCATTGTTACAATTTACTGTCATTATTAATACCAATTAAACAAAAACCAGTATTATTTTTCCTTAGACATCAACAATGAGCTTGTGACATTTTCTTGAGAGTAACTTTTGAAGTGGAATGGAAGCTCATTGACACATCAGAGCAAAAGAGACAGCTGGAAGGATTTTCCACGTCTGCAAGGGTTGGCGCTTCGATATTGGATTCGTTACATTCTCCGTCAATCGACAAGTTCTCAATTCTGCTAATTGAGCCGCCGAATGCAATAAGAAAACGAGGGTGGACTTCTTTTCCATTTTTTTCTTTTAATTTACTCCGTCTATAATCTTGAAAATTCTCGATGTTATGTCATCGACAATGACAAGAACGTCGTGAGAAGAAGATGAAAAGATGATGGGAAAAGAAATACGAATTTGTCGATGGATTAATTTGATTTATGAAAAATAAGAAAAGGGAGCAATGTATTTTCCTACAATATAAAAGTAAAAATATGCGAAAGGACTTATGTAAGAAATCTATCTATTAAATCAAATAATAAAAAAGCAAAGAAAAATGGGTAATATTTATTATTAAAATAAAATTATTATTATTAAAATAAAAGTGTATTATTTATTCTATCATTATTTTTGCACTAATTTGTTTGTTAAATCTATATTAAGATACTTATATTATTATCAAAATTGTGACTTTATTCTATTATAAAAAAATAACCTAATAACTTCAGTTTTTTTCTCTTGCCAGACATACTATTATTAGTTGATTATTAAATATTCCAACGTTCAGAAAACTAATAATATTTATTCGATCCTGCCAGTTTAATTATCAATACCCTAGTAAGGTTGAATAACCAACTGATCGTGAAAAATATAGAAAAACGATAACGAAGGGCTTGCCGAGATCGATCGGCGAATCCACCATCTTGCTCGATCTTGGTATCGCAGATTAAAGGAAAATGGGGACAGGGATAAAGACCGATGATCGGGGAACTTCATCGGCGAAGTTTACTTTTATCAGGAGCAACGTGGGATTGAATTTCAATGTTATTACGGATAAGAAGAACACTATCGCAGGGGAGAGAGGTAGGAGAACGAGGTCTTAGGAACTTCACGGATTTCTTCAGAATTTGCAGAACCATGTCCGTGACGTGACTCGCAAAAATCCGATATTATTTTGTAGCGTCGCCAGCGCTAAGCTATTGCCACAACATTTATTGAATATTAGTTCGATGTACTCTAATTTTTTTATATCATCTTCGCCGCCCGTTTTGTTTATATCGTCTTGCTATCTTATCCTATTTGTTTATATCGCCTTCCTATCTTATCCTATTTGTTTATCTCATCTCGTTTCGTCTTTCTTCACTATCCCTCCCCCGTGACGTCATGTCCTTCGAGTCGCAATTTTCTATTTGTTTATCTATGTATTTATCTTCTTGTTTATCTATTTGTTTATCTACTTTTTTATTCACTTGTTTATATCCCCTTTACCGAATCCTAC